GCCCAGCATACAAGAAGTCTCCCCACTCTGGATGGGCGTCTTGGGTCCAGGCCTGTCCTGGGGGAGCCCCCGGAGATCCAGGTCAGCCTTGGTGAAGAGGAGGCCTGAGCCGCTGCTGGAAACTCTCGGGGAGAAGCTTTGGGAACCCAGGGCCCAGGAAACCACATTACAGGCCCACTGCTCAGAAAAAAATGGCTTTGGGAGATATCATAAAACAGCTTCCCACTGCTTCAAGGGCTGTTCTGCTGCGCTGTATGGCCCGTAGTGATTTCAGTCAAGGGAGTTCAGATAAATGTTTTTCTCATGGTTACGATCACAGTCTAAAAGGATTGTTTGCATTTCTAGGAGTGACATTATTAAGTGCCAAAAATGGGTTAAAAGTAACAAAATGCCTGGCTATGAGAATTGAGCGATGGTGTTTATTTGGCCTCAGATTACCCCTTGCCCTCTTGGAGAAATTACACGCGCCTTTGAGCTCCACTCCTCCGCATGGCTGGATGGGGACGTGAGGGACCAGCCGACTGTCCTGTGCAACCCTTTGGGCGTGTGGCGCCCTGACCAGTGGATGCCGCGTGGTCACGGCTCTGCCCTTGGCTCCAGGGCCCGGGGAGAAAGGCGCGCGTCACCTGCGTGAGCAGTGGAGGGAACACGTGCATCCCCGGGCAGCTCCTGCCACACGTGGACGTGCCTGTGTGCCGAGCGGGCGCCTCTTACGTACCAGTTAGGTCTGTAGAATCGTGAGCACGTGGCAGAATTTCCGCCTGTTCAGATGTGACACGTGTGATGTAAGGAAGTTACTTGAGCAGTTACTTTTTAGGAAGCTGAGACCCCAGCAGAAGGGCTGCCGAGGCCGGGCACCGCCCCCCGCGGGACGCCCTTGGGGCCGAGGCGACCATCCGTCCACCCCTCCCCGTCAGCCCAGCCGGCGGCTCGCCTCTCGCTCCTGTGTTGTTTGAGCATGAGGGGCGCGTGGAAAGCACAGGGACTCCCCTCTGCCCTGAGAGCTTCTCTGCGAGAACCAGCTCCTGGGACGAGGCCCGTAGGGGCAGATGTGTGATGAAGGGCCCACGGCTCTTCCAGCTCCTCCCTTCAAACCTCAGCCTGCCCCCAACCCAGCTCCCAGTTAGGCTACACCTCGGTGATTAAAAAAATGAAAGTGTAAGCAGACGGAGCCTCGTCTTCCCCTCCGCATCGGCCACGGTGCCCTTGTACTGATGGGCAAAGGGCACCTGGGGCTTGGACTCTGGTGGCAGGTCGGTCTCTCTGGGGCGACTGTGCGCCCTCGTCGGCACGGTTCCAGCTGGAAGGAGAGGAAACCGGGAAAAAGGAGGGCCTCCTCCTGCTTCGCCTTCACAGTGTTCCCGAAACAGCAGAGCTTCAAGAGCAGAGGGACGCGTTGCCGTTTCCAGCACAGTCTGAGAAGGAGGACCTCGTGGAGGGTGTGGGACAGTTAGTAGCTGGGGGAGGGGAGGGTCGGGACGTGTTTCCTGTCCAGGCACAGCCTCTGGCAGCTCTGTCCGTGGAGAGATTGGCGAGCCTGGCTGCATTCAGGGTGCCAGGGAGACAAAACACACGACACACCAGATTTGCCCTAATCGCAACCTCAACTCTCAGCCTTGGTGATCAAGAATCAGGTCATTCTTTAGTGAGCGCTTTAGTTCATCAAAGGCACAGTTGCGATTTTAGTAGGACAGACACAAAGTAAATAGTAAAACACCTTACTGTTCATTCTATACATCTCTGTAGCGTTTGAATTTTTTCCCCAAATAACATGTATTTACTCTTTTTCCCTTCTGTCAGTACGATTATGTGGTGGAGTGACATTTCTGACTTCCTTTTTGTACTTATCTGCGTATATGTGAACTTAATACACGTGCATAATAAAATTGGGACTGCATACCTATTAGAACAGCTAAAATAAGTAATGATAACACCAAATGCTGGCGATGGTGTGGAGGAATTGAATCTCTCATGCTTTGCTGGTGGGCATGTACAGTGGTACAACCACTCTAGAATAAACAGCTTGGCAGTTTCTCAAAAAACTAAACGTACCCTTCTCCTACAACTCAGCAATCTCGCCCTGGAGCGTTTATCCCAGAGAAATTAAACCTTATATTCACCCAGAAACTTACCCACAGCTGGATTCATAAGAGCCCCAGACCAGAAGCTGCTGAAGTGTCCTCCAGTGGGTGATGGTTAACATGCTGTGGTGTGTGCCCACCACAGAATGCTACTCATCAGTGAAGAGAACAGGCGATCCACATATGTGGCAACTTGGTGGGTCTCACGGGCATTTTCTGAGTGGAAAAGGCCAGTCTCAGGTGGTCACAGGCTGCGTGATTCCCTCTACGCAGCTGTCTTAGTCAGCTCGGGCTGCTGTAACGAAAATGCCATAGCTGCATGGCTTAAGGAAGGGTTTGTTACTCAAGGTTCTGGGGCCTGGGAAACTCAAGATCAAGGCTCCAGCAGATCCTGTCTGCTGAGGGCCCACGTCCTGGCTGGTGGGCGGCTGTCTCTAGCTGTCTTCTCTCCTGGGTGTCTCTGACCCCGTCCTAGGGGATTAACGCCCCTCCCTCATGACCTCATTCGACCCTGCTGACACCCCACAGGGCCATCTCCAGATCCCATTGCCTTGGGATTAGGCTGTCAGTATGAATTCTGGGGACACAGAGATTCAGTCCACAGCAAAAATATTCTCTAAGTTACAGTTATGTGGATGGAAAACAGACTAGTGTGTTGCTGGAGGGTGGGTGTGACCATCAGAGGGGACGTGAGAGAGGTCTTTGTGGGGCTGGAAAAGCCCCAGGTCTGGATGCGGGTGGCGGTTACACGCATCTACAAGGTATGACAAGGTGACACAGACCTGTACACACATCGCGCTGGCGTCAGAGTCCTGGTTTTGATTGTATGTAAGATGTAGTCATTGGGAAGCTGTGTGAAGGGTACAAAGGTCTTCTCTGTACAATCTTTGTAACTTCCTGTGGCTATAATTATGTCAAAATAAAAAGTTTACAGTGCGATTGCAGGTCCTTCACATTATCTTTAATTCCTTGCTGGATGAGAGACTTCATTGCGTCGTGTGTTCAGGAACCATCAGCTTCTCTGCAGTCCTGCTTTCCTGTCTAGTAGAGACGGGACTAGTCGTTATGGAGGGAATGAGATAATTGGTTACGTTTTTAGATGTGCCAACAGCAGCTGATTTTCATGGTTTCCCAGACCAGGTAGATGGATGATTAGCCCCTTTCACTCACCAACAAGTACCTGTCACGCATCTTTGTGTCTGTGTGTGTCAGTGTATCTGTGTGTCAGTGTGTGTCTGCGTGTCTATGTGTGTCTGTGTCATTGTGTGTCTGAGTGTGTGTGTGTCTGTGTGTCTCTCCACACCAGCTGTCTCCTTCCCTCTCTATTCCACACGGTCACTGTAAACAAACATGTTTTAACCACGAGGCTGTTTCTTTCCTGTTTAAAGATGGCGAGCCTCTTGCTCCATCCCGTGCAGGCTCTGGGCCGGGGCCATTCTGACCTGTACCCTGAGATCCTTAGGGTTCAGAGTGAGGAGAGCATGTCTCATTTTCTGCCTCTAGCCCCATTTTGTACGCACTACCCAGCCTTTCTAGATAACCTGTTTTGCTCCCCAGTAATTACATGTAACCGTTTTCCCACAGAGAGTTAGCATCTCGTCTGTGGGGTCAGACCACCTGGGTTTAAATCTCGACTCCACCACCTACTTACTGTTTATCCAGCCTCTTTGTGCCCCGGTTTCCCCACCTGTACCTCCTGGGAACACGGCAGTGAGCACCTAGGAACGCTGTTTACAGTTCTGGCCGTCATGCTGCGGACGTCTCAGACGCGTCTTGTCTGCTTGCTGATGATTTCATGGCCCTTCTGTCTCGTGTGACCTGCTCTGTCAGTCAGTGTGCCTTTCACCTGCTCCCTAGGTTTTCTTTTTTTCTTTTTGATTGATTAGAGCACTAAATATTTTTTTTGAAAAAAAAACCCACTAAATATAATTTGAGTATCTTATATAACCACGTAGGTTTACATTGTTTTTAATTTTTAAAAAATTATTTTCTTGACGTTTTAAAATTGAAGCATAGTTGTACAATATTGTGTAAGTTTCAGGTGTACAATATAGTGAGTCACCATTTTTAAAGGTTAGACTCCATTTATAGTTATTAGAAGATATTGGCTGTATTCCCTGTGCTGTGCAGTATAGCCTTGTAGCTTAGTTGTTTTATACGTAGTAGTCTGTGCCTCTTAACCCCCTGCCCCTTCCTCCCCCTCGCCCCTTCCCTCTCCCCACTGGAAACCACTAGTCTGTTCTCTGCATCTGTGAGTCCGCTTGCTTTTCGTTGTGTTCACTAGTCTGTTGTATTTGTTAGATTCTCACCTGTTCCCCTTGGTCTGGTGGGAGGCACAGGGGTGCCAGGAGGTCGGTTTGGAGAGATTGGGCCCCTTTCACTGCCCCAGGACACGTGTCCTCATCACTTCACTGCCGACCCTGGTGCACTGGAGCCGACAGTGGTGTAACAAGGAGCACAGCGAGCCTGCAGCACATTCTTTATCCTTTATCTTTTATCCGTGATAAAGAGCCAGAAGGACTGGCTGCCTTGGTTACAGGCTCAGCTGGGGCCAAACGGAAGTTGTAACTGGACTCCGGCTCTTCCCCTGCTGAGCCTGGGACTGAGCTGTCACTGCGCCAGAGTCACGGAGCAGGGTTCATTCCTGCACCCCCTGCACAGCTGTTCCGTCCCCCCCAAGGGCGGCCGGGCTGCCGCACAGCTGGTCCCGTGTGTGCGGGGAGAGCTCCTGGAGCTTCCAGACGCTCAGCGAATCCACACCGTCTCGGGCACAACTCCCTTGCCCAGAGCTCTTAATGTGAAGGGGCCGGTGCGACCCTGGAGCCGCTGACGTGTGGGAGCGGAGAGGGGAGTGACCGGGACGCCGCCTGGGTGTCGTGCCTCCGTCCCGACCCGTCCAGTCCCCCGTTCCGCTCCGCGATGGCACTCCCGGGCCCGCGCCCCGCTGCCATCCCGGAGGGCGAGGAGGTCCCCCCGGCGGCCTGTAATGGGGAACACCGGGCGCCCTGCGGCCAGGATGAGAGGGCCGTGTCCAGGCTGCAGCGCAGGCACAGCGACGTCAGGGTCTACAAGGAGTTTTGTGACTTCTACATCAAATTGTAAGTGCCCCTCCCAGCCCTCTCCTGGGGCTCGGGTTCCCTGCCTGGGCTTTGACATCACCCCACCTTCAGTGGGGCCTCCCGGGGCGCAGCGGGCGTCTAGGGCGAAATGCAGAAACGGAGGAGGACAGCGCTGCCTCCTAGCTGCCCACGCAGCGCCGCGGTCTCCCTGTTGGGAGCTGGGAGTGCCTGGGGCCCCCAGGGAGTCATTAGCCAGAAGGAGCATTTAACGGGCCTGATTCTGTTTGACCCACCCTTTCCCTGCGCTGTTACAACAGATGTTGCTTCTCTTTACAGCTCCTGAGGAGCTCTGTTTAAGACTAATCGGGCAATTATAATTACACTGTAACCAAAATGCTTCGTAAACTGTCAAGACGCTTTTAGGATGCTCGAGGTTTTGTTTTGCACGCTTTGATAAACGAGGCAACTTGAACAAGGGAAAGCTCCAGGACGTCAGGTTTTCTGTGTGCAGCTGATGTGTGGAAGCAGGTCGGCCAAAGCAATTCTGACCGGACAGTTACGAAGGCTTTTCTGTTCCCCAAGGTGTACGTTTCCCGACGTGGAAATCCTTTTTTGAAAAATTAGCCTATTAATTATAACTAACCAAGTGACAGCTCTATCATCCCTGACTTTTAATAAGTAGCTTCTGTCATCTGTGTTAACTGTGACAGTCACTGTGGAAAGAATGTGTGTGTCAGTTTCCCATCCAGGGGATGTTGGGCGTCGGGGGACACTGTGCCTGCAGGGCCGGGGGTGTATGGGAACTCTCTGTATCTTCCACTCACTTTTGCTGTAAACCTAAAACTGCTCTAAATACAGCCCATTAAAAAACAAATACACAGGGCCAGAGGGTCAGAGACAAGAGAGGAAGGGAAATAATGTAAACAGTTGAGTAGGGGGTGAGACTATTGGTTGGTTGGTTGTTTTCCTGGAAGTTTCCTCTAATGTTCTGTTTCTTCTCCTGCTTGTTATTAAAATGAGTACTTCAGAAATACATATTACTTTATCTCTGAAACTACTTTATTTTTCCTGTGTGTGGGGAAAGCTTGTTTGTATAATGTGTCTGTTTTCTAACTATTTGAGTATTTGAACTTGAATGTAAAAGGTCTATAGTGTAATGAGTATAAATAGGTCAATGATAAACATTTTGATCTTGGGACCCGTTTACATTCTTAAAGCAACATTGAGGTCTCCAAATAGCTTTTGTTTTATCAGCGTTTACTGTATTAGAAAATAAAACTGAGAAAATTTTAAAGTATTTATTAGTTCATTTAAATAACAATAAGTTCATCGCACATTAATAATATTAATACATATTAATATTAATTAAGTTTTTACGTAAATTGTTTCCAAAATGAGAAAACTTGGGGGGAAGAGTGGCATTGCATTACATTTTTGCAGATCTCATTAATGTCTGTCTCGATGAAACTGTTTCACCTGCATTCATCCTTCTGCAATATGTTGTTTCACATGAAGTTTATAAAGAAAATGGGGCCTCCCACAGAGATGTGGGAAAAGGGAGGACATTTCCACCCCGAGAGGGTCACTGATCTAGGAAATCATGAGTCAGGATGTTCCAGGATTTCTTCTTTTGTAGGTCTCTTGGGGTTCTACTAAAATCATTGAGAATTTGGTGACTCTTTTGAGGAAGTTTTAAAGTAATAATAATGTTTCATATTTGAGTAGCATCTTCTAGTTTCCAAAGTGGTTTTATGTACTTTTTCTTATTTCGTCCTCAAAATGGTCCTAGGCCCATGGGGGCAGCTGTGGGCTGAGCACAGCTCGTCGAGGGATGCCTGTGGATGCTGACCCCCGCTTTGGAGAAGGGGGGCAACAAGCCTTTCCAGAGCTTTGATAAAACTACCGCCGTTCATCTGGCTTATGGCAAAGCCAGGTGACGGAGGGAGTTGATGGGTTTTTCTCCCTGATCCACAGTAATTTTGCAGTGACAAAGTGGGAAATTTAATTTAGTATGAGACTCAGGTCAGGTTTGCCACAAGCAGTGAGGCTGCCTCCCTTCCTTCCTTTTCTGGTGGCGTTTTAATTGAGTTTTGCTTGGTGTGGGGCTGTGAACATGGCACTTCTGGTGGTGTGTGAATACCACAGGGCAGGATACTGCTGGGTGAGAGCTTTGGGGGAAGAGGGCGGGGTTGTCTTCCGCTGGGGTAGGCGGGGGCGAAGCATGCGCCGTGCCAACCTTGCTAAGGAAGCAGCAAGATGTAGGCTGTGATGGGACGGGGCAGCCCGTCTGTCTGCGGGGTGGACCCCCGCCCACCTGCCGCCTGGGGGGCTGGGAAGGGTCCTCGTCGGTGACTTCCCCAGGTGGGCTGACTGGGTGTCTGGGTGGACAGAAGCTGCCCCGGGGCCGGCCGCAGAGCAGAGCGTGTGCTCTGAATGGGGTCCGGATATCTGAAACTAAACTTGCAAACCACGAAGCTGGCTGGGCCAGTGCCTGCTCTGCCTGGGGACCTTCCCACCTGGAGGCCGTCGCTTTATGTGAGACTCAGCATAAGCAGTGGTCCGGTCACGGGCTTGGCTGGATGCTTCTTCTCCAAGCTGCACGGGGTTGGGTGGGACGAGGGCCTTTCCGGGAAGCACCCGCGTGTGCTGGGGTCCAGGGGGGCCCCGGCCCGGACTCACCAACAGGGCTCTCGCAGAGGGTCCTCTCACATCCTCTCGAGCATTTGACGTGACGCCATCATCTGGTTGTGACTCGTGGGCGGGGGACCTGGACTCTGGGCCTGTGTCTCCTGTGAGCTGGACAGCTTTGCAAGGTTGGGCTCGTTCGTCTCTGAACCTGCACCTCACCATCTGTAAAATGATCTTCAGGGTGGAAAATTCTGTGCTTTTAAGATACGTTTTGTAATATTAGTGTTCAGCGTTTGTCTTCCCAGTTGGATTATAGGGCTAAGGCGCTTGGCGGGTTGCAGAGCCGCTGAAGCTGCTTTCGGCGGAGGCCCTCACGGCGGGTGCGAGGGGCCTGCGTCTGGCCGGGCTGCAGCGTGTCCGGACCCACGTGAGGGGGACTTAATGAGGCCGCTTGTCAGGCTGCTGGCTCAGCCCTTGAGGTGGCTCTCGGTGCCCCCTGCATCCCTGCCTCCTGGAAGGCGGCGTGGGTGCGCTCGTGGGCGTTTGGCAGGGGATGCAGGAATGTCGGCGAACCAGAGGGTCTGCACCCCGGACGCTGGGTGGGGTTGAGACCTTGGGTCGCAAGAGGGAAAACGGGCTTTATGGACAGGGTACGATTGTTGTGGCCTCAGACTGAGCTCCCGGGAAGGGCCGCCGTCCGTGACCTGTGTCCCTTGTGTGTTGCAGCAGCATGGCCAACGCCCTGGCCAACGCCAGCTGTGAGCGCTGCCGGGGAGGCTTCGCGCCCGCCGAGAAGATCGTCAACAGCAACGGCGAGCTGTACCACGAGCAGTGCTTTGTGTGCGCCCAGTGCTTCCAGCAGTTCCCCGAGGGCCTCTTCTATGAGGTGGGTGCCGGCGGGCGGGC